CGGGGAGAGGGGAATCCAGCCCCTCCCCTGTCACGGCAGAGAGCCGTGACAGGATCGAGAGGTGAGCGAACCTGGTATGTGTTCGCTCCCCTCCCGATCTACTGAGCCGACCTGTGACAGTCTCATTGTCACAGGTCGGCTAGAACTATGAGGTGAGAGAAAAGCACTCACCTCATAGTTCTCCTTTAAAGTCAATTTTAAAAATGTGTTTTTGGTTTTGTTTTTTACATGTTTTAAATTGATTTTAAATAAGATCAATCTGAAAATATTTCATATGAAAATTGTGTATTTAAAATTTACAGCCAACAGGTGACTAGCTCAATGTGTGAACAGCAGCTCTCTGATGACTGCTTTACAGAGGAGATGTGAAAAAGGCCTAAAGAAGAAGGAGATCAGATTCCGCTGTCAGAAAGGAGGAAGGTCCTCCACTATCCCAGAGAAGGCCAGCCATTGACTAGTTTAGGCAGTCATGCACAGGTTGCCAACAAGCATTCAGCTTTCTAAACCATGCTTTGAAAACCATGGAGTGCCATGGAGGTACCCTATAACAAGTATTTGTAAAATAAAGATATTATATTATATATCTTAACAAAATAAAATAGTAACATAATTAGCTTTAAAAATTAAAAAAATTAAAATAAACTTGAAGAAGCTCTTAGACCGGTCCCTGGAGCCTCTCTTCCCCTCCACTGCAGTGGTCTAAGGTCCTGTGAGTCATCATGTCCTACACACGGTGTATAGGACCTGAGGACGTAGAGGGACATACCATTGCTGCATCAGAGGAGAAAACAGGTTTGAAGGAGCGCTGAGGATTGGTTAAAGGAGAACTATGAGGCGAGTGAAAATCACTCAGCCTCATAGTTCTAGCCGACCTGTGACAATGAAACTGTCACACGTCGGCTCAATAGATCGGGAAGTGAGAGAACACATACCGTCGCTCGCTCACTTCTCGATCTATCCGTGCAGAGAGCCGTGACTGTCACTCACGGCGCCCTGCAGGGATCCCCCCCCCCCTTCCCTGTCCGGTCCTCCAGCGCAGACTGGCCGAATGGACGGGGGAGGGGGCGGGTACAGCTGGCTCTGTCTCTAGATAGGCAGAGCCAGCTGTCACTCACGCAGCTGGGTGGATCCGGCTGCGGCATCTCAGTATACCGTGAGCTGTAGCTCGCTATATACTGAGCTTTGGGTGACGGGAAGACGCTAGTTTGTGTCCTCCCGTTACCCTTAGGAGAACTATAGGGGAAAGCCCTGAGCCCATAGTTCTCCTTTAAGTATAACTTTGTTATTTTCACATAACCCTTCAAATGCAGTGGTAGCCCCACTGCAAGGGTTAATAAAAAAACTTCACAGACTTCTGCTTTAACACAAAATACATTTTCCCTTCAAGGCAATATTATCTTATACTCAGTCTTTAAAACAGAAGACAAAGTAGCAATTACATACTGTCATTTTCTGCAAAGACGACAAAAACAAACGTTTAGGTTTTTTACAAAGTCTATTTGTTTAATTTCAATGTTTTTATCTGTTTTTCACTATTTAAAAAAAAGAAAATCTTTAATATGGGGTGCACTAATGGTATTGGTGTCACAAAGCATTATTATTTTTCTGAACAGAGAGCACAGCAGTGCTTCACCTCCTGGGCTGAATGGAAATAGTAATATTTACTCATCTAAAAAAAAAAAAAAGTTTAAAATATTTTCACAAATGTTTTTTTTTTTTTTTTCCTGACAAAAAAAAAAACCAGAAAAAAATATATAAATTCTTGTAATTTAAATATAACTTTCAAAAACTGTCTCGGCATCACAGTGTCCCTGTAAATAAATCTTGGCAGCTAGGTATTATCACACGTGTATCATGACGATCGTGCTACATACCACTGCGTCCACGGCAGGAGAACTGTCACCGACCACCAGCAGGGAAGGACACCTACAACACAGAGAACAGACTCAATGAGATGACATCAAACAGACAGGACACTGCAAAGGATTAAACTGATCAAACAAGCTCAGATAGTAAAAATCCAAACAGAGAAAGGGCAGGGGGTAGAAATCCAAATAACTATGGAGCTAAAAAGCAAATCCAGAGGTTAAATATAAATAACAAAAAGAATACAGAACATTAAAAAAACCCCAACAAATTAAAACTGAACTCGGGGCAAAAGTTTGCCTAGTGGCAGCACCAGCCCTGGCTACAGAGGTGTCATATCCTTGCTCCCCAGCCATCTGAGTGGGTAGTAAAGGTGCATCTCTCTGAACGCTCTGCTCTCTCCTCCTGTTGGTGGCCTGGAGACCTGGTAACCTTTTTGATTAGACAGAGTCTCCAGGCCAATTTAACAGAGCTCCCTGATCTGGTTTGTATCTATAAGAATAGGAACTTGAGGCCAATATAGTTCTTATTTACCAGAGGAGGCCTCTACCTTGCCTCTGCGAGTGGTAGTTAGCAAAGAAAAGTAAAATAAAAAAAATAAAAAGTGCAGGAAAACAACGACTCCTTTCCTGGACACTTTGATAAATAAGGGCCCGATGTTTATGAACTGCAACTTATTCTGTAGCATTGCACAGTACAGACAATCCATACAATTTGCTTAATATCTGCATCTAACAATGTCCACACTCAGATACGCAGAGCTCCGAATCATCATCTGAATAGGAACACAGACTCCCTCTATACAGCGCCCGTGAAGCACAGACAACGACAATTCACTATCTTGTATGCGTTTGACCTTTGCTGCTAAACCACTGAATGGGAGTCGGCTGAAGACATAAATGGCGCACTTACTTTAATGTAACTGCGTTTGTCCCGGGAATTGGACGTTCAATTTCTAGGTCTCTTCGGCTGAAAATAAAAAGAGAAGAAGGAGTTAATGCATATCTATGTAAGCATGGCATAGCACATCTGGCTCGGTGGTGAGACGAGGGGTCCAGGATGAGACCTCTATGGGGCTCTTGTATAGGGTAATCAGGGGTGCCCCCAGCATAATCACTACCTGAGGCAGGGAGGAGTGGGGTGCTGGTGGTCATGTTCTGGGGGGAGGGAGATGGCGATGGTTAAGGAGGCTGCTAGCATTGACATTCTTGGGGAGATTGATGGGGGTGCTAGTGGTGCACACTAACGGCACTCTGGTTGGTGTCCTGGCGGCGCAACATCCAGCTCTGGCCAAGGTCCCTCCCAGTTCAATTATGTCACTGGTTGCCAGGAGCTGGGCAGGACACCGGCCAGAGCGTCTCACTCAGCTCCTGGCAACCAGTGACATTGATTGTTGCCAAGAGCAGGAGAGGGGCGCCGACCAGAGTGTCCTGCTCAGCTCCTGACAACCAGCGACATCATTGGTTGCCAGGAGCTGGGTGGGACGGCAGGTAGAGCATCCCAGGTTGCTAATACCTTGAAGGGGAGATGTGTATGGCCCTTACACATCTTCCCACCCTGTTCTTAGCAACCTGGTATGCTCTAGCCAGAAAGAGATGCCTCACCATGTGACCCATAGAGATGCCACCTGAGGATAATGTACCCTGTTATGACTTTATGGCACTCTATGCAATCCAGTCAGATTTGGTTTTGAACAAGGGGAACCTACAGTTTGAAAAACTACGGGGAGAGAAGACTTCCACGCTCACTACTGCATTCTATCAGATACGGCTGATATGCTGGGACTTGTGCCCTGAATGCTGGGACTTGTTATTCCTTTATGGCTGGACTGCCTAGACCATGTTCATACTTTCCGCACCCTTGGCATTGTACCTGTTGTACGATTTCACAAAAAGCGTCAGATTGTTCTGGTTGATGCTCATGATGTGCTGACGATAGGTGTGCATCAGTTCGTGGTGGTTTTGGATTTCATCCTAGACAGACACACAGAAAAGGAAAAGTTTCAGCTGAGAACAATTACACCATGGAGAGCGAGGCCGTGATTCCCCACGGTTATGGTTTTGTAAAGTAGGTCAGGACACAAGCTGTTTCTCCAGAGCCCCAACAACAACAACAACAGCCATTTCAGACACACGAGGCTCAAACATAAGGACGGAGCGTTGGGGGCCGTGTGCATTCGCTGCCTGTAATACCAATAATAGCTCAGCGCGAGTTACTGGCGATCACTTAGTTTATTGTCTGCGTTTATCAAACGTTATATCAGCAGAGCGGGAGTTTGTTTACACGAGCCCGGATGAAATGCATCACGTATGACCTGATAAAGTACGTGTCGTAACTACTAAAAAGATAGCATGAAAGGAGAGATTGTTGGACGTTTTTAATCCGGCGTCAGTTGGGCTCCGATACATTCGCGATGGTTGTGCAATGCTAAAGAATTGAAGGGCAACTCCTTGTTTTCAGCCCTGAAATGGATCAGTTTTACGCTGACACATTTTTCTCGGTGGATAAATACAGTGGTAGCTCGGTTCACGAACGCTTCTGTTCACGAACCATTTGGTTCGCAAACAGGAAGTTCAGCAAAATTTTGCTTCCGCTCGCGAACTCCGCATCGGGTGACAAACACTACCGCAGCCATTTTCCCTGCTCTGACAAATGGTTATGGCTTCCTCTAGTAGAGATTGCGGTCTGATCACAGTTTGATTTGGTTCGCGACCAATTCGGTTCGCGACCAGAATCGTGGAACGAATTAAGTTCGTGAACCGAGGTACCACTGTATCATGTACAATAGTAAAATTAATTCATGGTAGTTGCCCTGCCTCACACTGATTCCATGGCTTCATCACACCCCTCCAGACTGACACCCACCTATCAAGCCATTTTGGCATTTGCATAACTCCTCCCAAAAGCCAGCCCACTGCTTGCATCAGAGCTGAGGTGGACAGAGCTTGAGAGGAATTCAAAGGCAGTTATGTACAACACCCTGCTGGCCCCTCCCACCAGCCAAGATCTGCCTGCATTGTATTAAGAAGCAAAGGGACCCAGTAATGATCTTACTGAGTCTAAAAAAAAATATTTAATGGAAACAGAAAGGTTTTGTTTAAAAAATATTATTCGCTTGTTGATGAGGGGGGAAAAGGAGGAAACAGGGAAGGCAAAATAAAGGCAGCTTAAACATCAGCTTAAAACCTGAACTCCAGGTAGAGTAACAAGACACAACATCAAAAAATTTATATTTTTTTAACAGTGAAGGTAACCAAATTTAAATTTGGTATTATCCTCTTGCAGTCCATGTACAGCAAGGCTCAGACTGGGAGGGGAAGAAGCAGCACAAGGAGCCATTCAGGTGTGCTGCAGTGAAGGGATCATTATGACTCACTATTGAGGTGGACGTTCCATTCTTCCCAGATTGACTCACTATAGAGGTGGATGTTCCATTCATCCCAGATTGAATCACTATATAGGTGGAGGTTCCATTAATCCCAGATTGAATCACTATTGAGCTGGATTTTCCATTCATCCCAGGTTGACTCACTATATAGGTGGAGGTTCCATTCATCCCAGATTGACTCACTATTGAGGTGGAGGTTCCATTCATCCCAGATTGACTCACTATTGAGGTGGACATTCCATTCATTCAGCTACTACTCTACCATGACAGGTCAGAGCCACAGGGTTGCCCCTATAATGAGGCAGCCTAACGCTCAGTTACGTCAGTGAGCTGGGTAGGATGCCAGATAGAGCCATGACAACCCCCCTCCCCATGCCCCCAAATGACCATACAGTAACTGCATGCACCCCACCACTCCCAATTTTCTACAAATTATCCCACTTACCTTGGCAAACAGATGAGAGATCACCGTATCAGTTAAGCCGTGGGCCAACCCCGAGAGCTGTCAGTGCAACAAAGAGGAACAAAGACAGAGAGATGAACGAATAAATACAAAACGTGACAGAGCAAACAAGAGAACTGCTGAGAGGAAAGACATGAGAAAGGTTTCCGGTGAAAGTCAGCTAACAATGAATGCCCAAAAGTCTTACATATGTAATTGTTGCCAAAGCCATTTTGTAATTTAATGTTATTAAAAATTACATTTCCATTTAAAACTGTAGCTGCTGTAATATTCTAAAGCTGCCAAAAACATTCAATGCAATATGGTGACAACCGGCCCTTTGAGGGCAACCATAATGCTGATGCGGCCCGTGATGAAAATGAGTTGGACACCCCGGCCCTAAGTGTTTATTACGACTAAAGGGATGCCGACACTGCACCTTTCCTCATTACAACACAGAAAGTCCACCAGCTGATTATAATGACCCCAGACCCTCCCATTCAGTTTTGGAAAGGACATAGTGCAACAATCAGCTTCTTCCTCAGAACAGAAACAGCTAGGCATCTGAAACAACGTTTGTTAGAATCCTTGCAATGTACACAGATCACTCAGAGGGGAATGATTGGTTTCTCAACAAAAGTGGAGTCACTCGTTAAGTTAAAACAATGCAAGCACTGGGACATACAGCCAATGTGAAAACACCAATGATTTTATGAACGGAGCTGTGTGTGTTTCTCAGGAAGTAACCCTTCACATAGCTTTTCATACATGCCCTGGTAGCTCCACTAGTGATATGTAATGGAAGCAGGGGGAAGGCAGAAGAGGGGTTACAGCTCTCTATTACATAACAGGAACCTTCTGCAAGTGTTTTCTACAGCCGAAAAATAGGCCAGGGTAGCAGGAGAGATCAGACTACACACAGTGCTGAATGACCCGGCTGATTCACTAAAGGCAAATAGGCTGTTCATTTTGCAATGGAATTTTCACGACGTGAGGGAATTTTCCCTTAACTTAATGAATGTGGGGAAAATTAACTCTAGAAAGAATACCCAATCACATGCAAGGAAAAAAATAAACAGTATTTTTGCTTACTTGTGATTGGATGCTGAAAATCAACAGAGCATCACATAATTCCCTAAGCTTTCACTAAGGGAAAATCTCTTTGCAACGTAAACAGCATGTTTGCCTTTAGAAAACCAAGCCCATCATTTCACCCTCTCTCTCTCCATCTAGCATTGTCAGTTATACACAGGCTGCCAAAAAGCATGCAGGCAGGAGTAACCCTTGTTATTACAAAGGAACTGCTGTACCATGTAAAAAAATTTATTTGTAAATAAAGGTGTTATATAAATCATCAGCTTATGAATGTAAACTAAAAAAAAAATAATAGAATGAACTAAAAGCTGTTATATTTTCCCTTCTACAAAAGTCTTGGGGGAAATAAATGAAGTAGCCAACCTACCTTAGTGGCCGCCCAGTCCATCCATCCTTCTGCACAAGGGTTGATGTTAATAAGCACCAGGCCCTCCACCATGCTGGGGTGGTTTAGCTAGAACAGAAAGAGATAATTGTTCAGAGCACAATTCCGTCATTTTCCACTTATATAACACCAAGGGGTCCATTTATAAACTCTCCGCAGGGCCCTTCCCTTATATGTGTCAAAACGAACATTTTCTATACAAGTGCAATGACTTTTCAAATGTATCTATGTAATACTCCAATATGGCCACTGGGTGGCGATATTGAGCATAGAAAATAAAAGCTTATTTTCTATGCTCCTTTAGCTCAATCTAGTGGCCATAATGCATTATTACACAAAGGCATTCGAAAAGTTGTTGCACTTGTAAAGAAAATAACTAAAGGATGTTAGTTTTGGCATATATTTGCACAAAAGGAACGTTCACAGATATCCATAGGGCGAAAGTTCCTGTTAATTGTTTATAAATAGACCCTTAAGCATTTAGCATGCTGTCACCTCGATAGCAGCCAATTCCTATTCTCAAATCAGTTATATGAAAAAAAAGTAAGGGTTACTTACAGCGAATCTAGTCAGGATATAGGCTCCAGCTCCGCTTCCCATTCCAATCACACTTTTCAGGCTATAGGCAAAAAAAAAAGAAAAAGAAATTCATCACTTTCTGATAATATGAACTGAGGATACAACTGCCCTAAGCCTGTACGTCCAGCAGGGGGCTCCATACAGTCACAACAGACCACATAAGCAGCTGCAGTACACATAGGAATTGGTTAGGACATTGAGCAAATGCCCCAGTTTTCCAGGAACTTGCTCAGAGTCGGGGAGGAAACGTAACAGCTTTTCAGCATGAACTGTACAACAGAAAACATGCCTACATCCCTTGAGTTAAAGGGCAAGAGCATCTTGGTTATACATCATATGCCATCAAAGGAATGTCAGGTGGTATGCGAACAAATATGAACCCGCAGATGACAATAGTGGAAAGGTATCTGCAATAATTAGGCATCCTCAGCACCACTTTAGCTGAGCCCACCTCTATTGGTCAATGCCAGCCAACTGAGAGCTAAGGCTCAGAAGTATTCTGGGGTGCCTTGTGAAACATAACTCAGCACACTCACCGCCACGTGCATACGTCTGCATATAGTGTGCTTAAGTGTTTAAAGTGTAGGAAACTATTTATAAGCAATTCACAGGGCCCTTAGCTTCGATGGTCATTTTGTGAGAATACTGGCAAAAAAAAGAATGTTATTATTATACAGGATTTATATAGCACCAACAGTTTGCACAGCGCTTTACAATATAAGGAAGACATTACAATCACAATACAATTCAAGACAAGATGGTAAGCAGGGCCCTGCCTGTGAGGTCTTGCAATCTAAAAGGGAGGGGCAAGTGATACATGAGGAGGTATGTTCTTAACATATTTTCTCTTCAGGTCGGATGTATTGTGATGTAATACTGCATAATGGCCACTAGATGGAGCTAATGAGAATAGGAAGTAAGTATCAATAATGTATTAATGATTACAGAGCCGCAATAATGTGTGTCTTTTATAGCTGCCTGGAGTATAGCTTTAAATGAGCATGTGTTGCTTAAGTGTGCCCCCCAATAGGAACACAGAGGCGGTGCAGTGTTTTGTGCCCATTGCTGCACAGGACAGAAGGTGGCAGGGTTCAGCCAAGGTTGGCAGCATATGATGCAACCGTAAAGTCATTATGGAGAACTTCGGACAATAAATGTGACAGTTACCTAAGCTGCTGTATTACTCCAGGCAACATTTCAGCCAGCTGGTCCATGGATGGGTACACATACCTAGAAGGAACATATACAGAAACATTAAAAGTCATATCCATATTAACTTTAGTACATTCTATATAAGACGAATGCCATCTTAAAACATGAACATTTCCAGTAGTGGAACGGTTCTTCTAATCTAGATAATGGGAACTGGAGCAAAAGGTGCCTTTCTAATCCCTTCAACCCAGTCCCCTTTCCCTAATAGGTGGGTTCTGATCAACCATATTGTGTGGGGAACCTTAGACATTGATATTCAAGACCTGCATACATGAAAGCAATGCAACAAGCACACCAAAAAAATGTTTTCCATGCTGAGTGGATAACTCTCAGGCAAGATAGCAGTGCCAGTGCACACTTGTGTTCTTTGCATGTGCACGTGTATGTTCTCACCATTGCAGGACCAAGGCTCTGTTCTCTGATTGGTGAAAACTTGTCCCCAATCTCTAGAAACAGTTCCTATTACTGAAGCTTCGTATGGTTGGAAAGGAATAGAGTGTTCATGTCCTGCAGGAGCATATGGAGGGAAACGTGTTTCTCTAGGGATCTCCAAAGATTGGTAAAAGGTTGTCCCCAATCCCCAGAAATTATGTCTATTGCTGAAGTTTGAAGGTCATTTGAAAGATGACTGAAGCCTACCATGTGATCCAAGGATGGTGTGCTCATATTCTGCAGGAGCATTGGGCTGGAACCATGTTCCTCTAGGGACCTCCATAGACTGGTAAAAAGTTGTCCCTTATCCCCAGAAATGATGTCTGTTGCTGAAGTTTTTAGGTCAGGTGAAACATAACTGAAGCCTACCATGTGATCCAATGATGGTGTGCTCATATTCTGCAGGAGCATTGGGCTGGAACCATGTTCCTCTAGGGACCTCCATAGACTGGTAAAAGGTTGTTCCCAGTCCCCAGAAATTATGTTTGTTACTGAAGTTTGAGGGTCAGGTAAAAGATGACTGAAGCCTACCATGCGATCCAAGGATGGTGTGCTCACATTCTGCTGGAGAATTGGTCTGGAACCATGTTCCTCTAGGGACCTTCATAGATTGGTAAAAGGTTGTCCCCAATCAAGGGAAACAGTTTGAAGGCCATCTTATAGTCAAAGATGTAACCTTGCTTTACAGTTGAAAGATGACTGAAGTCTGCCATGTGAGCCTAGGATGGTGTGCCCACATGGTGTCCTGCAGCAGCATTGGGGTAGAATCATGTTCCTCCAGTGACCTCCAAAGATTGGTCAAAAGTTGTCCCAAATCCTCAGAAATTGTGCCTTTTGCTGAAGGTTGAAGGTCATCCTATAGTCAAAAATGTAATAGTGCTCTACAGGTAAAAGAGGACTGAAGCCTGCCATGTAAGCCAATGCTGTGCCTGTGTCCTGCAGGAGCATTAGACTGGAACGTGATCCTCCAGAGACCTCCACAGACAGGTGAAAAGCTGTCCCCAATCACCAAAATATTATACAGGTGAGCGTGTTTTCTTTGTAAAGTGGGAAAAGTGGAAGAGAGAAAGTTGTCTTCCTGGTTCTAGGTCATAGGAAGGCATCAGAGAGGACTGGACTTCTAGAGAAGAATGTGTGAGGTCTACAGGAGTTCTGACTCAGCGAAGGATGATTCATGTCTGAAGAGGGCTGGAGTTAAGTCTAAGATAACAAAATTCAGACAGCCCAATGAACACTGCAGGACGTAGTGTGGTCACACGGCTGAGTGTGCGGTCCTTGAAGCTCCCAGTGTTATAAGAGTGGTCTAAGATCTGAAAGTGTGTGATGTTTCCCCTTCACATCACGTATGGCCCTCCAAGCTCCTCAATAAAGGCCTCCTACTGCCAACCAAGTCTTAGAGACCAGAAGGGTGGATATATGCTTGGAAGACAGGGAGAAAGAACCCAAAGAGAAAACAGGAGGAAGGAAGAAAGGATAAAAGAAAGGAAGAATGAGAAGAAAGAAAACATGCATACTTGTGTTTTGTGCAATTCTTTGCACTGCAGGCAAGAAAGGGATTGAAGAAGGCAGAAAGAGCGCAAAGAAGGAGGGAAGGAAGAAATCTCCTTACCATTAGAGTAATGATTTCCTGAGAGTCTTGTTCCTAAACTCCCTAATCTTTGCTAAATCGTAATTCCTGTAAGTCCCTATCAAAGTGACAGCTCTAAGTGGTCCATTAACCTCTCACATCCCTCAAGGTCTAAGCTGAGATCACACGGAGATAGACTCATCAGTGTCTTACCCTCCTGGAAAGGAAGGGGCTCCTTCGTGCTGGCCGGGAGCATCCACGTGACATACGGAAAAGTGCTGCGTGATCTCATTCATGTCCTCACAGCTGAACAGAGTGTTGAAGCAGGATTTATCTGTAGAGTCAGAAGACAATCAGCATCAATGGCTTCCAATAATTACAGGACTTACTTTAATAATTACAGAATTCACATGTCACACTGTAACATTTTACTCAGTGGCCATGACTAGAGACACACAACATCTGGAACATTGGTGCACAGTGGGCTTTGGCCACCAGGTGAACCTATTGTGGTTAGTGCTATGCAGCCTTTGTAAGGGAGTTTACGCCTCAAGTGAAAGATGGGCCAACAGAATACCGCTAACAATAAAAAAAAAATGGTTATTGGTGCTAAACCTCCCACCCTTAAAAATAGTTTTGGTTGGAATTCCACCATAAAGAAAACCAGTGAGCCAGACGCTGATCCTCCACTCATAAGTTGTTATAATAGTGCAGCCTTACTTCTCAGGGATAGGCTTGTGTACTGATATTCACTTGTGCTCTCTCCCATTTAGAATCGAAAATTAATACAATTGTAGCACCATTGAAGGGGTGACACCAAAATGACTCACAGTCATTTTGGTGTCATCCCCTCTGAAAAGTCGGGCATTCAGTCATAGACCGAGAGACCGACAGTTGCAGGAGAGAGGAGGAGACCCGGCGGCATACCTTATCCCGCCGGGTGAACTTCCCCTCCTCTCTCTGCCAGCCTCCATCACAAAGATGGCCGTGCATGCACGGCCATGGTGACGTCACGTTCATGTGCAATGACGTCATAGTGGGGGTGTCACCTGGAACCCGATCCAGGTGACACCCGGCCTCGGGACGCCCCTGGAAGGAGCTCTTTCTTGCTCAGCTGTCTCTCTTTTCGATCTGATGTGTAGACCGCTATAATAACATTTCCTATTTAACTAGCAAAGGTGTTTTACTGCACTAAACCTTTCACCCAACCTCCTGATTATTGTATTTCAAAATTTGGCCTGGAAATTTTTGACAACATTTTACACACTCATATAATTATCTTATTATCTTTAGGGTGTTCTCACACCAGGAAGCTGGGAGGTGGGTCATGACATGGCGCCTGGCTTCTTGATTGGTCAGGAAGCCAGGCTGCCTAGCAACAAGTGAAGCCTGCTTCCTAGCCAATCAGGAAGCCAGTAGGTGGGTCATGACCCGCTGCCTGGCTTCCTGGTTGTCCGGGAAGCCAGCTCCATGCTCCCTCGCGGCACTGCCGGTCAGAGGGAATCTTTCTCTGACCGGAAGTTCCGGTATCGGGGTAAGTATCGGAGCATTATACTTGGTATTACTAAATCCAGACAAGCCCTGCGTGGATTATGATTGGTTGCCGGATGTTACTGTTTGAATCAATTAGCTCATGTGTGTACGAATGGAAGCCAACTATAAAATATAACTCACGGTTGAGTCCGATGTCATGGTATGTCAGTATAACGGGCCGGTTCTGTCTTGGCGTCCCACACATGGTGACGTGGACCACTCCATGAGCTGTCTCAATGTCGTGTTCCTGGGGAAAACCAAAAAGGAACATGAAGATGAACAAGATATTCAACTCAAGTCTTGTATACACAACAATTTATTTCATGTTTAAAGGTCAAAAACTAAAACTAAATCTGTATTTCTATATTGAATTTCCATAAGTTCCATCCCACTCCTCATAACCAGATCCATCTAGAAGGTTGTAAACAGAAGGCGCCCATAGGATGGACTTCCTCAATGTGCCGGCACCAGATCACTCTGAAAGAGAGCCAGCCTTCTGAACAACAACTCAACGTAACATTATCAACTCAATGTAACATTATCATTGCTTGCTGGAAGCAATGCATGATGGGATATGCAGTCTTGAGAAATGGAGATTGCGTCACATGCAAGCAGCAGGGAAAGAGACGCAAAGCACACTGGGAATGCAGGAAGTTGTTGGAAGTGATGGGCAGACGGATGGCAGCACTCACTACAGAAAAGAGATTTTATCAAGTAAGATTTGATTGAGTTATTAATAGTTGCGGAACAATTTGGTACGGTTCGGATATTTAATTATTTCGGGATTCAAAATTAAATCCGAGTTTACGGACGAATATTAGTTGTAAATACCACAGAAAAACATATGCAGATATTAATACTAAAGCTGAATCTCCTAGACCCAAATGGCATTCAGGATCAGAATTTTCGAATTGCGTTGTGGAGCTCCAGAATGCCAATCGGGTCTGGGAGCCATATACATATATTACTAAAGCTGAGGCTCCCAGACCCGAATGGCATTCTGGAGCTCCACAACGCAATTCGAAAATTCTGATCCTGAATGCCATTTGGGTCTGGGAGCCTCAGCTTTAGTATTATATTTATATACTGTATATGGCTCCCATGTTGCCGTAGCGAAAATTCATGTTCAGACCCATTTGGATGCATTAAACTGAAAAACACATCTGATTGGTCAGAAACGTCACATGTCCCATTCAGGTTAGTTTTTGGACAGGATCCGAAATTCGGAAACGGAAATTCGGATTCGGACACATTCGGATGCATTGAGATTCGGAATTTCGGAAAAATCGTCCACATTTTGATTCAGAACAAAACGAATCGCACATGTCTAGTCATTAACAACAACTCTAGTATGTATTCCTATTGCAATGCTGATGTTATACCGGGATTGATTCGCATTTTCAGAAGCAGGTCAGCAACGGCAGCATGACTGTCCCTGGCCCGCCCCCTTTCAATCAAGAGCCAGCCAATGCAAATACAGTCTGTCTAGGATCGCCCACTCCACCGGATTGACACCCAGCCACCATTGGGTTCATTTTTATATTTACATAACTCCTCCCAAGAGCCAGCCCACTGCTTGCATCGGGGCTGAGAGCTCTTGGGAAGAGTACTGAGGCAGGGTGCTGTGATGGTTTAAGAATGCTGTGTGCGGCCCCTCCTCCCAGCCAGGATCTGCCTGCATTGCATAAGGAAGCATAGGGACCCAGTGATGACATTGCTGGGTCTAAAATAAGGTATGAAATGCATTTACGTCAGCTTTAAGTGAACTACTTTGGCTGCCAGTTGTACATAACAGATGTGACTCTGTCATTTTGTATACTTTTGGGTCATTGTACAGAAACAATTATTGACTTTGTAATGCTTGTGTGTTCTATGGACTGTTTTGTTGGCATACAGCCCAGGAGCCCCCAGCTATTTGCCCCAGTGAAATATTTGGGGTCATGTGGTCTAGTATTGGGGGTTGTCCCTGATAAAGGGACTTTTTACTCCATCGAATCCTCCCGAGCAGATACAACGAGGCAGGAAAAGGCTTTGTATTGGCGTTTCCATGGAAATATGGATTACATGTCACCGGGATGAAGTCTCACTGAACATCTGCAAGTTCCAGGCTGCGAATCGGGAGCTGAGAACTACTGACTACAATATCTGACTCGGCAACAAGTTTATTTGACTCTTTCATTGAAAGGTACAAGTAAAGTGAACCTGTCCTGATACAGACAGAGACTTCCAATATTGCTAATATATATATATATATTGTTTAAAAAAGACATGGAAACTTCTGCTGATGTTAGGTAATGTGTGAGTGTAATAATTACAGATCTTTATCGCAGAGATCACAGTACTCGCCCTGTGCATGCCCTCATCTGCTTTTCTCTCCAGAAGGACAAAGCTTTCTTTTTTCCATCATCCAAGGTCCCCATCCACTTCCTGCACTGAAATGTAAGGCTTAGAGACCTTGGCTGTGTTCACAAATGTCTGACACACCGCAGCCTCTCACCTTGCAACAAAGTTTGAATGTTGCAGACTGGTCACTGGGGGAGGGGAGACTGAGGAAATGCTTCCTCCTGCCTGCAGCAGATCGATCACTAGGGGAGGTGAGACTGAGGAAATGCTTCCTCCTGCCTGCAGCAGACTGATCACTGTGGGAGAGGAGACTGAGGAAATGCTTCCTCCTGCTTGCAGCAGACTGATCACTGGGGGAGGGGAGACTGAGGAAATTCTTCCTCCTGCCTGCAGCAGATCGATCACTAGGGGAGGTGAGACTGAGGAAATGCTTCCTCCTGCCTGCAGCAGACTGATCACTGTGGGAGAGGAGACTGGGGAAATGCTTCCTTCTGCCTGCAGCAAACTGGTGACATCATCTCAGCCTAGGCAAAGTCACTGGGCCAGAGCTCCAGGGCTGCTTTTTAATGATAAACGCTGAAGCTTGTAGCTTTTATGCCTATTATATTAAAACTCCAAATCACTGACTTCTGACACTCTCTTCTGATTGGTAGACTTGTTCTGGGTAATGACCCAGCAACTGCCTCATGTATATTCTCCGTTGCTGTATATAACACACATGGACGCCCATTGAATGCCTGTGATTGAGCTGTCATTAGAAAACACAGATCACAGGCAAAATGCGCACAGCCTGTGGCTTTGTACCTTGTGATCGCTGTGAACCAATCACAGCAATCACAAGTGTAAACACTGTCTGCGTTTACAAACATTCAGCCCTTTCACAACAGAGGATGGAGGATTGCAGGAAGGAAGGGAGCATCAGCATTAGAGTCAAAGAGAATTTAAAATTGCCACTGGCCACCAAAGATTGAGGGAGGGGGCACTATCTATCTATCTATCTATCCATCCATCCATCTTCCAATCCTCTGGGTACATGTTGTGAGCACCATGCCAGCTCTTCCCAACAACCGTTACACACTTAAGAATGAAATCCCAATGACCATTAATGATGCAGCTTTCCATTGTGAATGGCTGAGTATGTACACTGTGTGCACAGGATGGTACATTTTATAATGCATCTCTAGGAGAAAGAAATATCTATGTTGATCTATATACCTCATATCTATCCATCTATATCTATGTAACCATCTATATTTATCTATCCATATCTATCCAGACATCTCATTCTATCTATCTATCTATCATCCATCTATCTATATCTATCGATCATCCATCTATCTATATCTATCATCTATCTATCTTTCTATCTATCTATCTCTATCGATCCTCCATCTATCTCTATCGATCCTCCATTTATCTCGATCTATCTATCTATCTATCGATCATCCATCTATCTCTATCTATCTATCTATCTATCTATCTATCCATCCATATCTATCGATCCTCCATCTCTATCTATCTATCTATCTATCCATTTACCTTTCAATCCTCTGATCACATGTGAGTGAGCACCATGCCAAATCTCCCTAACAATCTTGGGAAGTTTCTGTGTACTTACATCAATGGTTGTGTAGAAGGCACATTCATCCATGTCCACAACCATTATGCGGAGAGCGGAATAGTCCGATCACCCTCGTGACTGGTGTCTGCACAGCTCATAGTGAGCTTTCCATGTAACAAGCTTATATAGATCACATGCCACTCCTCCTAAGCACACTCACTCCCAGCATGCATTGCGAACAAGCTAGCTTGGGATGAGGACGTTCTTAAACAGTATCTGCGTCAAAGATTGATGATATAACAAATGCTTTTTCCAATCCAGCTCAGACAACAAAAGCAAGGTCAAGGCAAGAAAAAGATGGGGGGACCACGCGGCCTGGCCGCTCGCCAACCATGCAAATCCTGCCCACGGCCTCTTAAGAAGTGCAAGGCTGCGGATGTAAGCCAGGCATCTCAGGGCTGCCCCAAGGATGCAAACAACAACTCGAAATCTGCCGCGATAAATCAGCTTACACCTGTCACTGTCGAGGGGGGGCCGTGGCTTACTGTATGTCAAAGTACGTCACCCATTCTACAGCTGAGAAGACAACAACATCATATTTCTAGGAGTAGAATACGTCTCAGGACCGGGCAAGGAATAATTCACACTGCGCTAGCAAGCTTCATTCCCTACGAACGTTCCATTGGCAGTTCTGTAAAGGTATAATTTCTACTCAAACAGGAACACTTGTCACCTCGCGCATTAAATGTAAAGTAGATGTAAACCCAGCCATTAAAATCTCATACAACTTTAACGTATTAATGTCATTTTGACAGTAATTTTTATTTATTTTTAAAGCTTTCTTTAAAGAACAAGATGACCTTTTGTACTGATGTCCTTCAATTAATCTGTCCCCCACCTTCCCCAAGTGAAGCCCACCTGCTTAAATATTTACCGTCCCCCACAATCTATGGCCCTGCCTGACAACACACAGCCTTCCTCTTCTTAGAGCACCTGCGTCCTGTACTCCTATTCATCCCCACAGGTAAGCCATGCTCTGATGGATCACTGGAGGCCACCACTGGTTTGGTTTTCCAGTAGAGATGAATTGGACCAAGGTACTCATAGCAATAAACGACCTGGCAGAGCAAGTGGGGGAAGGTAAGTATTTGAGCAAGTGGGTTGTTCCCCATCGGAGGGAGGGGCATAGGGGGAACTAAATGAAGGGCAATTGAACCAAAGGCGGGTGACTCTAGCAGCACCACCTGGCTTGGCAATAGTCCGCTTTAAAATGGACTGAGCTGGGAGGAAAATTATTAGCTAAATAGTGACTGCACTCTATCAAATGCAGTCACTGTTCAGGT